TGGACGAACAGAAAAATATTAAAAGATAAAAATATCGATTTATTCAAACGTCGAAAAAATGCAAATTCTTATTTAGTTAATAATAAACGATTCAATATGTTCAATTTGTTTATAGAATTTATATTCATAAGAAAAAAGTTCTTTTTACGAAAAGCAAAAGCAAAAAAAAAAGGGAAGAATTATAATAGACGCATTAACTTGAATCCTGTATATGTTTTAAATCTATTTCGTTTCGTTTCGACAAATCACGAGCCGAAAAGAAAACCTGATAGGATACGAACACTACCATTAGATTGATGTTAAACGGTGTTGATGCGATTCTATATTAATGTAATCCTTACGTCGATCGTTTTTTTTTTCGCATGCACCAGCAGATCATGTAATGACAACTGTCTTAAAATCATTTTTCTTCTGCTTACATGAATTTAAAAAATCGAACTATTCCATCTATGGACAGCGATATTTAATATAGGCAGCTTTCAGCAAAGTTTCATTACAGTAACTGGTACTACTTCCATCACTGCTCTCTGTGATTCGTAACAGCAGCTATAGCATGTTTCATATTTTAATCCTGCTAGAATTGCATTTACAATTTTTTCTTTTGAATAGACTGCAAATGCTCAATCAAGAAATCAAAGTAAGATATTTTCTAGAAATAAATTCATTCTATTGGAATGAATTAGGTACGTGAAATGCAATTACTGGATGTAGCTCGTCGTAAAATGCTTCATCAACAACATTTACTTAAAGAAGCTGAATTACATAGATTAGATGATGAAATTCGAAAAAAAGTTTGTTTCATGTTTTTCTTTTGTTTATAATATGAAACATTTATCTTTTTTTTTTAATCTAGGCAGAAGAACGCAAAGACACCTTGGAATCAGGTATTAAATCAGCTGAACTTAAAACACTCGAATTAGAAACACAAACAAAAATTTTGGAAAATGTAAATTATGGTTCTTTTTCTATTTATTATAGAAAGATAAATTTTTCTTTGTCAATTTAGCAAATGCTTCGATTACAAACTACGAAACCTTTAAATAATGCAGCCTTTGATTTGGATGATTTGACTGATGATCAAAGTTTAAAAGCAACAACAAAAAAGATAGTTGCAGATGCTAAAGTTCATTAGGATTCAATTTTTCTTTCGTCATATTTATTTGTTTCTTTTTTTTATTTATGTAGCATACACATCATTTTCCTAATGAGATTTCAATGGATAATGAGAATATTGCACTACGTTTTGAAATGAAAGATGAAGATGCAAAAGAGGATATGACAGAAGTAAAGAATACTCTGTATATTTTAGTTATTTTACTTAATGTTTTATATTTGTAGGTTTGGAAACAATTACGTGAAGCTAAAGCAAAAGAATTAGAAATGAAAAAACAACTAAATGATATGTATCAACAAAAGGTATAGTATATAATATAATGATTGTGACAAATAAAATCTTTCGATTGAAACAAATGAGTTAACTTTAGCAAACTAATGAGAGAGAGAGACAAAAACAAGTTACGATAGTTTGTTTTTTATGTAGCGTTGCAATACAATATTGTTGTGATTTTATTCTTTTTGGTGTTCTTACGAGAAGCAAAATGTTTAGTACAAAAGTACGAAACATTATTTGATCAAAAATATTTTCCAAAGACGACAAAAATTTTTACAAAAAGAGTTATTAAGAAACGTTTTGTGTAACTTTGGCTACAAAGAGATTTTTTTTACCAAGGTTTATAATTGATTTTCGATGTTTTCCAGCATCATATACGTATTTATATTAGAGCCCTGTATCTGAGTCGAGGTCATTAAAAGAATTTTTTTCGGTAGAATTAATGTCGGAATTAAACCAATAAAAGAGTCAAGTGGTTTTACTCGTACATAACAGCAAGTTTATTCTTAGAATGTTGATTAATGAACGAAAATATACTACTCTATATATTTATAACTTTCAGGAAAATAAAGTCATCAGAGTGACTTTCTCATTAACAAGTAGCATAAAGAGATGTTTATATGTTACTCGAAAAAATATTACCGGAGTTGAAAAATTTGACGCCGAAGAACTCAAATGTATATATAACTGTTCATTACCGCAATGCTTTTCGTGTGATATTAAAATAATCGATCTGACATACAAGACACTGAATAATAAATAGTTTAACTAAAAATCAACGTGATGTGTATAAGACGAAAATAAAGTTTTGTTTAAATATCTCACACAGTAGTTGTATGTTATTTGAAATAATATTGTTTAGTAGAAGAAGGCATGAGATTTTTTTTCATATGAACTGTATATCGCGTAATAACTTCTCTTTTGATGTAGACTTTAGTTTTTCAAATGCGATCGCTAGTTAGAGAAAAAGTCGGTCGTTGTAATTTACGTTATAGAACTTGAAAAAAATCTTTCATATTGTGTGGAAGTTTTCTTCTGGATTCAAAAAAGTTACCACAAGAATTTTTGCAAAACTTCAATTTCAAGATTTTTCTGACCTTCACGGAACATTTCTCTTCATAGTCTCTCATATATTTTGATGCTAGTTACTTTGCTGTATCAAGTTCAGAACGAAAGTTTAAAATGTATAACTCTGTAAAATTTTATTTTCTCAAATATATCATTTTGTCATATATATATATAAATGCATGCTACTCTTTGGTTTGGAATAATGTCTAATATAATTAAGACTGATAAAATAAAACCTTTTTTTTCATAAAATTCTAACGAGTGTCTTGACGAAGTTAATGTTTTCGTTTCAGAATGCTTTAAACAGTCAAGATACAAATCAATTAATTCAAGTTATGACTAACAACAAAGTTGTTATTAATGAAATAGACAAACCAATATCATCGAGAACAAAAGTGTCAACAGTTACAGATGATGTTAATACGGAATCATATCATACATCAGGTAGAATTCTATTTTGATGTTCTTCTTAGTGTGAATATATATTTATGTTTGTAGAAGTTATTCAAATGATGAATAAACCAACTCATGTTCGATGTATCAATACACCCAATGGTTCAGCAGCTGGTGATACATCAACATCATCTGCTTGTAAGTTAAATAAATTGAAAATAATTTAAGACTAATACAAAAATTTTCTTCGATTTAGTAAATCTTGATCGAGGACGAGGTGAACTTGATAGTGATATTCGAAAGTTATTGAGCAATATTCGTGAACGACGAGCACGACTTGTTCATGAAAATTCACAAACGGCACCTTTGGCATTGACATCAATTAATACTCCTGCTGCTATTTCTTGAATCTCAGTGTATTGTAGATTAGTTGTGTTTAGTTTTTATTTCATGTGTCTCCTTTTTTTTTTCAATATATCATTATGTTGAATTAGTATTATAATAAGAATAAATGTTCATGTGTAGGATTTATACTCAAAATTCAACTGATAAATTTTTACGAATACGATCAATTATGGATGAATAGAAGATAATCGTTAAGAGTAGCGTCGACGACGACTATAAGATTTTCACTACACAACAGGATCTTTATAGGTTTTCTGATATGACGATTGTGTCTGATGTAGATTTGAAAAGTAGAAAATGCAAATATTGAGCTAATTGAAATAAAGAACATTTTTGTTTTTAAAGAGTGATTATAATTTTGGTCACAGATGCATTTGTAGAACATTGTTGATATAATAAATTCAAGAAAAATATAATGCAGAGGCAAAGCAAAAACAAAAGAGATCAGCTTTGAGCTTTTTCACTGCATTTATCTGTTGTCTACGTACCATAGAAATATATTCCTGCGTCAGGTCATCTTTCTCTATTTTAATACTAATAACAACTTTTTTACTTCATTCATGCATCGTTCGTACGAAAAAAATTTTAAAATAATGGCTTCGATTACTATATATCGCTGAATGTAAATAAATAATTTGTTTTTTTTTGACACTACTATGAGGACAACTAGCAGCAATAGCCATATGATGCTTCATAACTATTTTCGATCGATCGAATGCAAGAGCTGAGGCAATATTAAATGGATTGAGTAAAATTTCAATGCTGACAGCGAAATAGCTCGAAATTCTTAAATGATTCAGTTACAAAATTTAGCTATCAGAACAGTACTATGATCTCTATGATCATCGTAAAGATGATATTTGTATTGTTATTGTCTTCATGTTTACGCTCATTGAAATCAAATATGAGTTTCGATATTCAAGTATTGAAATAAAAACTACAAAAGAGTAAAAAAATTACGAATAATCGACATTTTTTGATGACCTAGTGACATGAAATATTTTTAAAATTTTAAAGGCTTTAACAATTGATTTTAGCTCAACAAGCTCATGTTTGAATCTATTGCATTTAGGTGTTCATCGTTCTATTGACAGACGTCTATATCCTTTTCATTAATCATCAGGTAGATATTTTTTGCTTGATCAAATAATTTTTTTTAGTTTTTTTTTCTCGATTAATAGAACTAGAACATATACTTTTTTAGATGAAGCCTCAACAGTAAGAATCTATATGTCTATATGTGAATTAATGACTTTTGTCAATAGTACGATTCAACAATTTTCAACAAAAATTTTCAAACTCAATCCCTTCTATCATGCATAATATAATTAGATCAAAAATTTTTCTACAATATTCAATAGAGTAATGATCTAGCATATTTATTTTATAGTAATCATTTTTCAGAAGCTCATTTACACCATATATTCTATGTTTGTTATTGTGTCAAATCCTACTAAACTCATCAGAAAAGAAAATGAATCTAGTATAGAAGTTATTGAAAAACAAAAAGTATATTAATGGTTATATGCTGAAAATAGATTTACTATCGAGCTATTGACATATGAATAGAATAAATATATTTTGTTCTTTGCTAGGTACTTTTCAAAATTATGCTTTACCCCTATTGCTCATTATTCATTTACCTTTCACTTGTATTATTCGCATACTTAGTAACACATTCTTTTAACAAACTTGGTAGAAATCGATACACTACCTAAAAAAAATGATTTTGACAGTCAGTATCATGTTACATTTGGTATTTATAATTGTTTTTAAGAGTTATGTTTTTTGTGAACCTTCTCCTCGGTGAGTTAAAATTTGTTTAATTAAAAATATATTTAAATATATTTTTCTGAATTAATAGAATACCTATTTATCGAATGTTAATGAGCTCATCAAATAAAACAAATTGTACAATAACGAAAGAAAACGTTACGATATGTGAAACATCTTCACGTCATTTTGGTCGAATACTTACAAAAGCAGCCAGTGTTTACGAAAGTCTTGTCAATATAGCCGATGTAAATAACTAATCATTACAACTATATTTCACATTCATATCTGTTTCAAAGTGATATATTACTAAAGAAAATAGACACGCCATGTAACTTTTCAAGCCGGAACTCCCCTATATGTATATATAGTTCGTTGCTGTCTCTCTATGATATGTAATGTGAGTGATATGTAATTTGCGTTTAAAACAATCTTGGACAATCTGTTAGGTTAGTTGCTGTACAATAAAATATATTGTATAGAGCATATGCATATAATTTTCAAAAATATTTATATGAATTCATATTTATTGATGGACAGATTGTAGTGTCTTTCTTTTTTTTTTTTTTTTTTTGATAGACATATTTCGTTGGAAGAATTTCAATTGGTACACCTGCTCAACTATTTATTATAGACTTTGACACAGGATCATCAGATTTATGGGTGGCATCAACCCAGTGCTCATTGAATTGCGGTAAGATCTTGAAGTGATCTATATTATATAAATCCATTGACATTCTGAATTCTTCAGATAAGTTTAATAAATATGATGCAAAATCTTCAAGTACATATATTGCTAATGGTAAGAATTTTTCAATCGAATACGGTGATGGATCTTCAGCAGCAGGCTTCTTCAGTATCGATACAGTTATAGTAAGTAGCATAGACATAATTCAAAGATATCTGCTATATAGAAATTAGATAACTCAATAATCAAAAGGTCAAGTAATGCCACAAATTCTCATGATGAAAATTTCTTTATCATTAGATTGTTAGGTGAAAACGAGAAGCTTGATATGAGCTCGTCTTTTTACAAGACAAAAATCTAAAAACAAGATAGTTAAAGTCGCTTTTTAATAAACTATAAGTCTTCAGCATTCCAGAATTAGTTATTAATTCTATTCAAATATATAGGTCAATGGAATTAGAGTAGATAATCAAACATTTGCTGAATGTACGTCTATTATTGGTATGAATGATTTTCAAAGTGATGGTATTTTGGGTCTTGCATATCCTGGTTTAACACTTGGGACTGAAATACCTTTTTTCTACAATATGTGGTATCGTGGTTTAATTTCCAAACCCTTATTTTCCTTCTATTTAAATCCGTAAATATATTGTTAATAACTTAAAATAGATATTTATTTTTTCTTTTTTTCAGTGATACAAGTTCTTTAGATGGTGGTGAACTCATTTTTGGTGACGTCGACTCAAGTAAATATATAGATCCAATCACGTATGTTCCTGTGGTAATACCAAGATATTGGGAATTTCGCATGGATGGGTAAAATTATTATTCATTGATTTTTTTTTTTCTTAAATTTCTATCATATAATATGTTAAGTATTTATGTTAACACGACTGCTATCAATACATCGTTGTATGCCATTATTGATACTACTAGTACATTTATTATTGGTCCTGCTGCGTCAATCGATGTTTTGAATATTGCACTAGGTGGTATTTATGATTCGCTTGTTGGAATGGTAATAAATAAAATACACGGTTTTTTTTAAAGATATTTATTTATATTATTTTATTTCGTTTAGTACAAAGTTGATTGTAAGATACGTTCACTCTCATCATTTCCTAATGTAACTTTCATAATTGGTGGTCAAGCATTTACATTGACACCATTACAGTACATCTTGATTTTCACTGATGAAGACAATAGTTATGTATGTTACACGGTTTTTGTTCCATCGAATGTAAATGACTCACATGGTAATCTCATTTGGATATTGGGCAACTTTTTTCTTTATCGATTTTATTCGATTTTCGATATTAAAAGTAATCGAGTAGGCTTAGCTATATCGACTTCTTACAATTGGACACAACCTATTAATTCATCTTTATTTAATATTTCATCAACTACAACACAGATAACAATTGCAACTATAAATATGACAACGACAGGTTCGATGACATCAACTTTAAGTAATTCAGCACATATAACAACTGTAACATCAATAGCTATCAAAATGGAAATATTCTTAAAAAATGTTGCAAATAACTTTGTATTACTATTGATATCATTTCTCATCAAAACTGTTTAAAACCAAACTCATTATTATCAACTTTTATTTTATATGTATACAAATCCGTAAAATATTCTGTAAAACAATAATTTTTTCAACATTGAAATCATAATCTTCTATAGAACTTATGTTCTTACATGAATGCTAATTCTTAACAGCATTTTGATAGTTCTTGGACATGAGAACGTTTTCAAATGATGAAAAAACTTTTGAGATTCAACTTTGCACACAAGTAGCACACTTATAGTCTAGAATTCTAGACAAATATGAAAACAAGTTACGATTTAACAAAGCTATCGAATTTTTACTGCAAAACATCAGTTTTTGAATAAAATCGAATAGTGAAATTATTGATCTAAACTTGTCCCCACAAAAAGATTGCAATCGAATTAGATTACGTAGGAAATTTTCAAAACTTTTGAAGAAGTTTATTTCAAAATATTAAATTTTCCGAAGTGTTCATCATAGAAGGTGCATCAACACTACAAGAGATACAATTGCTTTTCCAGTATATTTCACGCTTTCTGTTTATACTGGCGAAAGAATATTTAATCGAATATATATAAATATATAATCAATTCAATTTTGTAGTTTATATAGGAGAATTGACCTATAGTCTTATAGTTTTGTTTATTGTTATTTGAATGAATACACTTCGATTCGCATATATATCAAACATGCAACTATTTAGGTAATACATAATTGACATTTGCATTGTTGTAGCTCTCTCTCCTGCCACAATAAACGATCTTGAAAATTTACTGCTGGATCAAGACCAATAGCATGATAGTAAATCAGTTTCTATCTCTGTATGACAGACTATATGATACTTTGAAAAACTTTGATCAAAGGAGTTAAAGTCCGATTAATTAGCATTTAATGGGTCAAATGCAATAACTAACCTTGTTTGCTGTATGTTCTCAAAATAAAAAAGACTTGACATTCAACATTCGTAGTTTGCTTTTGTCTTTTTTTAACGTAATTTACCACTTCGACTTTCAAATTTGAAATCAAAATGTCTGAAGAACAATAAAACTTATCTATTATTTCGAAATCAGAAATGAAGATTAACTAACTGCTCATAATAAAGTTAAACGATCTGAAGAATAGTATCTTTCCAGCTCAGTGTTACGTCTGTATTTTGTTTTTTTGAGAAAAGAATAATTGTTCAAGCTTTAAGCAGCATTTTATATGATTATCAAGACGAGACCACAATAGTTAGTAAATGAAAAGCAATGACAAAAAAATTCAAGCTTTCCTAAATTATTCTGACTAAATGTTTTTTTTTCAATAAAAAGTATTGCATAAATTTGAAGCTTGTAATTCACTATTAGATGATCCAATACTCAAGTCCCCATATATCATTCATTTGAGAAAAATTTAATTTGAGAGACGAAAATTTTGTTGTTGGAATGTCCACTATTGTGGAGAGAGAGAGAGAGAAAGTAGATGTAATCGAAACTTTATTTCTTCTCCCTAAAAACTTGATCGAGCACTTCCCACGGTATCCATGCAGAAGATAATATGCATGACAAGAATGACAACCATCTTTATACTGAAAATGCTGATATTATTGGCACAGCTTGTCTAAAATTTTTGATTGCTCATACACAATTCTCGTTGAGTTGAGATCTTGTATGTAGCAAAAATTCCTTTTCACGAAAACAATGAGGTGTTACCGTAAAACATCGATCTCTTGGTCGAATCATACCATGCATTTATATTTTTTTCTACTTAATCAAGTCTATACATCGTCCAATCACTTGTGGACAATGCTTGATCTCAGAAGTTGTGTCTCATATGAAATCATTGCCTCGTTAGATCTTGCTTTATCTTTGTAATCCTCTTATAACTTTGTTTATTATGTATATTTATTTCTAAAGAGAAATAATATGATTTTTCTTATGAAAAATGAAAAACGATCAGGTTCTTTTTTTATGAGTGCAGTTTCGAGCATTATATAGTCATCAATCTAAGATGAATATATACCATTAATAGTTACATTTCAATTTAAGCATGAAATGTCAGCCATAATCGAGATAAATAAAATAACCTGATAAAAAAAAAACGCAATTGAGGATATCATGGTAAATATTTCGAGAACCATCATTAAACTTAATAATGATTTTGGAATTATTAGCACTAGAATAGCCATGTTGATTTATACTTGATGACAATTTGATCAAAGTTAAATAATACAAAAATTCGTATAGAACAGTTTAAATATTTTCTATCATCATACAATGTGGATCAACAAAACCTATGGTTTTTTTTTGTATGAATGATTTATTCCGACTGTTTTGTATGATCAACTTGTATTTTGATTCAATGAAAACCTATATTGTATTTTATATCCTATCGTACTCAACTAACAATCTTTTATGTAGACGAATTAGTCTAAAATTCAACAAGAAAACAAATTGTTTCACTGCTGACAAGTAATCAATAATAAATTATAGTCTTTCAATGATTACTCATTCTAATCATTTTATTATACAATCTATCACATAATATAAACATTGATGTTATTGATAAATATATATTATAGTTATAACTCGTTGTTGAGTAATTTTTCACTGAAATAAAAGTATTAATCATAACATAATGTAACTTTTCTTTTTTCTACATGACTTTATCTGTTATTATTTTCTTGAAATTATCCAAATATTAAATCAATCGACTAACATTTACAATATCAATATACCTTATAAATCAACAATTATGACATGCCTACATCTCATTTGTTTTTATATTAACTAATCTATGTTAAGTTTTCAATTTATGGAATAAAATCATAATTGAACTTATAGTTCTTCTACTAACAATTGTTATTCTTTATCTGAAATATCATTTGTATGGAAGATAAGTTTTGTATATTTAGGTTTTTTTTAATACCTGTTGTCATAAATATCAACATGAACCGTAAATGATCATTAGAACGTCAAGAAAATTTACATATGTATATATATATGTGTGGATGTGAATATCAAATAGGAAATTGAAGTGATGATGGATCATAAAATATCGTTAGTGTCAAAATCCAAAATGATAATGATTGTATTTGTCCAATATTGAGCATCAAAGTATTATACATATACATTCTACTGAATAAATATTCTTCAATCTATTTGATGATCAAAAACATTTTATCGTTACATATCACATACTAGCTCTCTTCTTCGTAGTCTACTGAGGTTGATATTATCACCCATCATAGAAGACAACAAGTATGTGTAATATTTGTTGTTTCTCTCAATCGACAATCTGATCATTTCTATATTTTATTTCTTTTTCTAACAACAGAAAAAAAAAACAGAAAAAAAACAACAGAAAGAAAAACGAATAAATTTGGCCACTGAAACTGTCGCTCATGCACATGTTTCACAGCGGATATTATAAATAATGAGGATGACGGTGAAAGCAAAACTAACAAATATCAATAGATATCAATACTCGATAATCAAGCCACTTGCGTCTAATGATGTAGCATAGAAATCGATCTTTGAATTTTAATAATAAAAATGTTAAATTTTAAAATATTTTTGAGAGAAAATTTAAACAATAAATGATCAATGTCATGTTTTTATTAAATAGAAAACATTTTGTAAACTTTTTTTGTTAATCTTTTCATACAACATTAACCGGCTCTTATTCATCAAGAAAGTTTCAAATATTACTAATTGCAAATCAAATGACGTAGAATATTATTCATCGATTGTTTTTTTTTCGTTGTCTATTTCCGTGAATGAATAATAACAATAAAATGACGCTATTTTATGTCAATATTGAGAATCATCTTCAACGAATTGTAAGTTTTATTATTATATATATTCATAGAAGATTTTATGAACTAAACTTATATAAATATCTTCTAAATAACAAATACCATCTGTTTTATTTGAATAGTAAGATGAAACAAAAAGGTTCATTATCGTAGGCGAATATTCGAGCGACGTAGTAGTTAACATTAGGGAGAATAGTTGCTTGAAGCATTGTCTCTTTTTTTTTCTTTTTGATGTTGTCATTGCCATTATTATACATACATCATGTTTTCTTTTGCTCGACGCCTGCCATGCATAGTGTGTTCTTTTGCTATACCCATATCAACTATCATCATCATCATCTGTAAGCAATGGTTAATCCTTGCCATTTGGCAACGCTACACTTTCTCATTGATGCTAAATAATTGAAAGTAAAAGATGGTATATCTCAAGCAAATCGAATAAGAATGGGAAAATAGCATAACAAATTCATTTCTACAATTTCTATCGATCTGCATTGTTGTTTTTTTTGTCTTTGGTTAAATTTAAACATTAATGTAGGCAAGATCATTTGTAATTTGATCTTGAGTTCTGCCATACAAAACACACGTATGCAATCGTCATTTTATTGAGGCATGAACCGCCTTTGTAATGCGAATCTCAAACGTTTGCTATTTATTTTATTCCAATCAAAATTCCGTTCATCACATACGTGTGATTGTTGTCTAATACACATTTTTGAAGTAAACGAATAAAAAGTCAAAATCCAGATTGTTCTTGATATCAGCAAGAGAACAGAAGGCAAAAAAAAGAAGAAGAAGACGCTGATGATCTATTATTCTTCTTTCATTTACACAACTGGTATTGATTGTACAAGGCGGGTGTTGATGATAGTTCGTAGCTTCTTGTCGGTAATTAGTCTTGATGAATAGCTCAGTATAACACTGATTTACTCATTAATAAGACACGATGTTCAATATTATGAATGACGAATGAATTTTTATCCACATGTCTACTGATACTTTGTCTCTTACTGTCTATGTGTGCATAGATGAGCGCGATTGACTTTTGTAGATTGATTCGTCTCTGGACACACGCACGCGTGTGTGTTGACATCTGATAGGGTTGAAACGCGTGCAAGTGCGTGCCGTACCGTGCTGAATCGAGCGTATGTATGGGGCGGAGATATCGGACGACAATTAGCTTTTTTGTGTATACTCGCTCGAAAATAACATTACTGAAGAAAAATGAAAGATG